CCGAAGCATCTGTAAAAAGTGCTCAGTGTCCCTTATATATTAAGGAATTTCCGGGACCAAACGTTTTATATATATGGGCGTCCAGAAACTCTTCTCCGTACAAGTCCCGTATCCCAAGATCACCGGCCTCCCCGGACAACCCTTCTAACGTATTTTCGGCAGCAAATAAAACCGTCCAGCCCTGGTGTCGTTGTATATATCGTTAGATGCACTCGCATGAGTTGCGAATAAGATCTCAAGTCTTGACGAATGATCTACTGCAGGCTCTCTGAACTATTCAGCAATTTTATACACGAAAGTATTGCACAAACCCTATGTCATTGCCCTTCCTTTTTATAACTTAACAGCAACTCTCTCTTCCATTCCTTATAACTACAACTTGTCGTGTGAGTACGTAGTATAGCGGAGAACGGTAAAGCCGTTTTTGGAAGTAGAATCTCATTAGTGTTACTGCCGATGTCGCCAAAGCCTTTTTTCTGTCATCTCATGAGTGAAATGCGGTGCAATCTCATTTGAATAAAATGATAACATGGTATATTTTATGTAGTGCCTAGTACAACCCACTTGATAGGGTTTTGGTTATTTTTTGATCGATATATGAAATTTAGTGTACTAACATGCCACTGTTCGGTCATGATAATGGCTATGGTTTTGATTTGAGAACTTGGCTGCGTATATTGGCTGATTCATGTTTACGAAGAAATGAGCGCTAACCTGTCTCGTCTGTATTCTTTTAACCATCTTATCCTCAGTAAAACCTGGTTAAGAAAAATTCCTGTTGGTGTGTGCGCTACAAGACCAAAACAGTGCCTTTTTCGGTTACCTGTACAACGATGTCCGTCTCCATAATATCCCTTTTTACAAGTGCAATTATAGGATCCATGGGTGTTGTTACACGTTGCATTGACGTCACAACTGCCTGCTGTAGAACACTCGTCGATATCTAAATCGAAGGAAGAGACAAATATTTAATTTGGTTTGTAGCGCCGATCCTTGCAATCTGATTGGCTTTCACCGGTGTAATTTTTTTCACGAATCCGAGTCTATTTTTCTTATTTAATCGCATATATGCTCTAAATCAAATCATTTCTACTCTAAATCTAATGATTTGTGTTTGCCATACAAATGAGATTTAAAAGCATATCAGCATGCTTTGACAAATCGGTGACTTGGTCAATAAAATATTGAGGGTCTGGATGAGGGGGGTACAAGTGTCAGTTGTCAGTTAAAATTTTGGCCATTTGTCAGTTGTCGGTTAAATTTAAGGCCATTTATCAGTTGTCAGTTAATTGGCTGTTAATAATTAATTAAGTAATTTAGTTATTTCTTTTTTATCCAAAATTCAGCTCAAAAGGCACATTAAATGTAAATTGTATCACTAATTCGAAAATTGCTACAATAATAACCTTCTTTTTTTCAAATTTGGAGTTGAATTCATTACAAGCGGCTTATTTTTTGCAAAGAGTTATTTTCTTCGAGCGCGCGAGAGCGCGCGCGGAGGGCGACAGTGGCCGCGAAGCGGGCGCAGAAAAGAATATATTTGTCTTTCCCCATAGGCTGTTCACAGTCCTCTATTTTTCCGTGAGATCGTCGAGATCGAGCGCGTCTTACCATTAATGGCGGCCATCTTGATTTTCAGTCGTACCGAGTCTAACCTGGGGAAGAGTATTAATGGTAAGACGCGCTCGATCTCGATGATCACACGGAAAAATAGGGGACTGTGAACAGTCTACTTTCCCCACGGCCACCCCCTCACGTTCGCGTGCTTTCAATTCCCCCGCGGTTTCTATTTTGTTTGTGATCTCGACGAACTCTAGACAAAATAGAGGGTCTGAGGAAATAAGCCCAGTGACTTGCTCGGCATACAATCATCAGTGAATTAGTATTTCATTTGAAGGGGTGAAGTGTTGGTTTCTATAATGTTTTGTTTTTAGCTGATGTACTGCGTGTTTTAATGTATGAATTTACATACGATCAACCGACACCACTAAAATCTGACGTGTAACGATCCCTCCAGGAAAGGTGTTGAGAAGCAAGCACACGCGGTGGTTCGCACCGCTGCCGCAAAGCTACAAAATGCAGTCATACATTAGGCCACCGTAATTATAACATAAATAATTTCAAGAAAAATAAATGTTACATAGTGCATTACGTGAAAACAAGAGCGAAAATATTCTGAAAGCGTAGCAGTACCCAGAAGGTTTTCCGGACTAACTTGCATGCTTATATTTCACTACATGAAACAAATACACAAGCACTAAGAACACATACTGTTCATTTCGCTTCCTGAGTCATCCAGCATACTTGGAAGCTCCAGCTTCCACTGGTCGTCCGTTGTGATGGCGAAGTTATCACTTTTCCCGCCCGGTTTCGGTGCCATCCGATAAAGCTTTATATCGAAATCTCCAAGGCCGTATTTAATTGTTAGTTCCTTCAGACCAAGGAATTGAATAATGTGCTTTTTGAGAGCATGTACTGTATTTAAGTCATTTATCGGAATACGGCTTCTATGTCTTTCGAATGCCGTATCCGAATTAACGCGGTAAAAGCTTACAATCGCTTTAATAACGCCAGCATTGGCAGCCATCATGTAAGCTGGCGCGTGCTCGGGACTGCTCAGCGTGAGTTTGTAAGTTCGAGATCAGAGGTGAAAACTATGACCCTAATGTACATGGGTCATACAGTAAGTTATTAACGAAATATAACACTCAAGCGTCCTGCTGCTAAGATTGAATATAAAACGTGCATTTGTTTGACGAAAGGAGTAAAACATTGTTATTTACAACGGGTTTTGAAGGATATTTAGGGCAAGAAGATCTTTTGTCAGTTGTCAGTAAAAACCTCTACAAATGTCAGTTGTCAGTTAAATTTTAGCCTATTTGTCAGTTGTCAGTTAAAATTTTGGCCATTTGTCAGTTGTCAGTTAACCCCATCCAGACCCTCAATATTGGAAACTGCTATTCGTAAACGTTACAACTGAATGCCATAGAACAATCGTCCACAGTCTAAACAAAGATACTAAGCTCTTTTTGGTCAAAGGCCAAGCCTGTAGATTTACTGTGTCTGCTAAAAATAAATAACATCGCTTAAATCATCAAACCATTTGAGCAACGTGAAGGCATCTTGACTCTTATAACGATAACAGCTCAGGGGCACCCATCGACTGTTTTCTGTACAATATCTGTTCGAAGAAGCAAATATTGGCTAAAATTTTCTACTTCTTGGGGACGGTTCCATTCACGTCGATTTTTGAAGTTTATCAAATAAATTCCCTACCATTTTCTGAAGTTTAATTTTTCCTATATCACTCCCCAGGTTAGGCTATTTTTCGCACAAAAAGGAAAGCTAAAATTTCCGGATTCGAAAATGTGATTCGAGCCAGTGCCTCTTACGAAGCTATTTAATCACTGCCTATAATCTTAAGTCTGTTGCCTAGTCAATGGAAACTCTCTAATTGTGTGACACCTGTCTACAAGAAAGAGGATGAAACATTAAAGTCCAATTATCGCCTTCTGAGTGTCCTTTCAACAATCCCTAAGGTCTTCGAACAGCTGAAGTTTGACCAGTTGTATCGTCATTTTTCACTTCTATTCTCGGACAAAAAAAAAATTTTCCTTCACTCTCCAACCTACGTGTATTGAAGTAGGGCGCGTTCGTGTTGATGAAGCGCGCGATCGATTGAAAACCAAAAAGAAACAGTACGACATGATTTTTTGCTCTGTAATTTATATCATGATGGCACTTACTGCTCTCTTTTAGACTAAAGAAAGGTTTTTGTGTCTTAGTAAACAATTCATAATCTGAGTGTCAAACAAGGATAAAAGATTTGACGAGCTTGATATTAAAAGCGCTAGGGAAAAAATACAGCAAGGATTTTCTTCGGATGAATAATTCAAAAATTGAGTTAGGGATGGACCATTTTATTTTTGAGGGGGGGGTTGGGCAATTACCAAAAAAAAAATTCCTGCATAGCAAAAGTCAAGAAAAAAAAAATCATGCACAGTGGGCCAGGGAAAAAAAAAATTCGAGCAAGCCTTTCTACTGGTAGGATCCTGTTAGAGCAAATAAAAAGGTAATCTGTAACTTTTGTCAATTTTATTTCAACAGACCAAAAATGCTGTTAAACTAGTAGTCTACTATGTTGAAATTTAACCGTTTTGGTGTCTAGCAAGGTCTAGCTGGGTCTAGTCAATGACGTCACCCATTGTTATAACCTAGGGAAAAAGTGGATTCCCTTTATTGATATGTATAAGTGTCTTCCTGCATACTAGTTCGGATTTCCTCCATACTAATTAAGTATCTTCCTCCATATATAATCAAGTGGATAGGTTTACTAATGAGCATCACTCTACTACAATAGGAACAATAGGCTTGCCTAGACTTGCCCGTGAAGTAACTTGAGCTCGGTTTTTCGACCACCTAGCAACGCGAGAAACGGCTTCCTATATCTTATTTAGCGCTAAAACTCAGATATATAAACAAAACACATGTGCACAAAGTGGAGTTGAAAAGTCTTTATTTCCGTTTAGTTTATGTCTTCTTATTGAGCTCTAAAACTCGGATATATATAAACAAAACACACAAAGTAGAACTGAAAACTCTATTTCAATTTTGTCTGACGTTTTCTCCGTTCTATCTCGAGGAAATGAAAAACTATTAAAGTCTTGTCATTTTCACGCACGGTTAATCAGTTAATTATGCGAGTTCACAAGTTGAATACAAATTAGCTCTACAGGAAAGACCCAAGGGAGAGAATCTTGAAGTATTATTATAAAACAAATAACTTAACAAGGATCAATTAAAACACGCGACTCATATTTGCTAGCAATAAAAACACAAGAGAGATACCGTTTTAAAACTTTATTAAAAACCAGTGACAAAAAGAGTCAAATACACAGGAATGGAAATTAATTAATCTTCATCTTCGTTCTCCTCTGTAGAAGGGGAATAGAAATTGGTTTCCAACGTCTTCGCGTTTTTGTGTGTAACTGCTCCGCAATCGTGACATCGAAGAAAGCCCTCTTTCATGTAATGTCTCCCCTCGGGAATCTGGTGATCGCATATAGGACAAATCTTGTAGTAATCGTGCCAAAGGCATTTAGGACATTTCATGATCAACGTCCCGTACACATTAGAGTTCTCGCAGTGTTCACAGGGACTTTTGGAGTGAAAGGTGGTGGACGTTTCAGGGTTACTACTTTCTATCTCCTGACTGTCGTTTTCAGTGTCGTTGTCGCTCTCTTGGGTGTCTTCCGCTTCAATGCCATTCTCAGAAGCCACTTCTTCCTCCTGATTTTCAATATCCGATGAACTCTGCTCATTATTACTCTCGTTATCGGAAGTATTTTCTACATTTTGGTAGCCTTTTTCCTTTTCTATTCAATCACTTAACAACTTTTTGTTCTTGATTAAACCTTTATCGATTCCTAACTCTGCAAGTCCATCTAGAAACGTATTCAGCGCACGAGGTTTGGTAACCTCATTGTTATAAGGGATCCCGGAGTAACACATACTCAACTAGCTCAGCGATGTTTGTGACGGGAATAGTGCGTTTATTTCGAAGTAATTGTCCGCTGGGGGTCCAGAAAAGAATATCTTTGGACGCAGCCATACTATGCAGCAAATCAGAAGCACGCTTTTCCGGCACTGCTCGGGAAAGATGACTCAAAACATCTTTTATTCTCGGTTCTTCTTTTGTTCTTGGTTCTTCATCCTCGCTTTCATCACCAGAACTTTCGCTTTCTTCATGTTCACTCTCATGTTCTTCTTCTTCAACCAAATCTATCTTTCTTTTCATTTTGATGAGTTCTCGTGACAGACTTAGCTTCGAATGAGCAACCTAGCGATGTGTCACCTCTTTTATAGCATTAGAAATCCTAAGCTTGAAACTACAGGGGCTAATACATCTTCAATAAAACCACTACCCTCTTGAACAAGGACTCGCTTCTTTGTTTTGAAAGGGACATTTGTACTGGCCAGGTTAAGTAAAGCATCCTTAAAGAGCAGCAATACCCGCTTATTTTCTTCGGAGATGGGAATGTGTCCCATGAGTAAATTGTATAAGACTTGGACTAGTGCATGAAGTTGCTGTGGTGTAGCTGTCTTTAAAAGAATTAAACTGGCGCTGATAAGCAGGGCAATCAGCTAACAGCTGAAGAAAACCACGATTGTTGTTCACTACACGAGACATTGCTTCAAAGTGAACTAAAGATGGCAGTTGGCAGTCTTTTATAGAATCACGTGGAGAAAAAAAATAAATAAATAAAATGAAACGAGTGGGCGAAGGATAGAAAACAATAGAATGAGGAGGAGGAGGAGGAGGAGGAGGAAAAACAATAGAATGAGGAGGAGGAGGAGGAAAAACAATAGAAATGAGTAGGAGGAGGAGGAGGAGGAGGAGGAGAATGAGGAGGAGGAGGAGGAGGAGGACAGAAAACAACAGAAATGTGGTCGTGGTAGTGGTGGTTTTGGTTGTGGAAAACAATAGAATTTTGTGGCCTGAAAACCTATATAAATGCGCAACATTCTACCTCTTTCTCAGTCTACAATTTGCTCCTGAGCTGACATGAGTTGGTTCTGTTCCGTTTGCGAAAAATCATTTAGTAGAAAAGATAATATGCAAAGGCACGTGATGTCTAAACACCACAATGTCGGTCTCACACCATTTCAAACAGTTCCGTTTTCACAGAAATGTCAGCGGTTTCGCTTCGAGCACCCTTTCACTTCCATGATTGCCGGAATGACCGGTTCCGGAAAAACGGCCTGGGTTCGATCGCTATTGCAACAAGCTTCAGAGACCATTTACCCTCCCCCGGAGAGGATCGTTTGGTGTTATTCACAATGGCAGCCAGCGTATACCCAAATGTTAGTCGCCATGCCAAACATTGAATTCGTTAAGGGAATTCCTACGGCTTTGGAGCAGGATTCCTATTTTGATGTGAACAAACGGAATCTGATCGTGTTTGATGATCAGATGATTGACGCCAGTAAAGACAAGGGGATTGTGAACCTTTTTACTCGTGGTTCTCATCATCGCAATCTGAGCGTGATTTATATCGTGCAGAATCTATTTCATCAGGGGAAAGGTAGCCGCAGCATAAGCCTAAACAGCCATTATCTGGTGTTATTCAAGAATCCACGAGACAAATTGCAAATCTTGACTCTCGCGAAGCAAATGTATCCTGGGCAGACGGATTTCTTTTTAAATCAGTACGAAGAGGCTGTAAAAAGACCTTTTGGTTATCTGTTGATTGATCTGAAAACCACTACCCAAGATAATTGTCGACTGCGAACAAACGTCCTGCCCAGTGAAGAAGGCTTTAACCAAGCAGGGTTTCAAGAAAATATTCCTCAAGAGCTTCTAAAATATCTGAAGCAGCAAACTCTTTCACCTGTCCCACTTCTTCCAGCTATGCAAGAAATACAAGACAACATGGATGACGTGCTTTCTAGAAACGATCTTCGGGACGAAGAAAAAGCTAAACGATACCTTCACTTGCAAAACAGATACCTGGCTTTTAAAGAACAATTAAGTACAAGAACACGACCGGAAGAAATAATCAGCACTGTTCCAGACTTAACATCAAGGACACAAGATTCTTCGACAGCAACGACAGCATTCTCGACTCCCCTCAACCCCTTTAATGTAACACCTGAATTAACACAAGCGGCTATCTCTCAAAAACCTGACAAAGAAAGCCTCACCCCTCCACCACCCTTAAATCCTGCTTTCCTGACCCCTCCTCCTACAGTAGAAACCCCATCACCACAAGGCCCGAAGCGCAAAAGGCGTCGGATTCAATTTGTAAATTATTTGGATGATCATAAATCTCATGGCAAACAGCTGAAGAAACGTCGGCATAAGAAATTCAAACCTTACAAGTACTCTATCGGCGAAGAAGATGAAGATTAATTAATTTCCATTCCTGTGTCTTTGACTCTTTTTGTCACTGGTTTTTAATAAAGTTTTTTAAAACGGTATCTCTCTTGTGTTTTTATTGCTAGCAAATATGAGTCGCGTGTTTTAATTGATCCTTGTTAAGTTATTTGTTTTATAATAATACTTCAAGATTCTCTCCCTTGGGTCTTTCCTGTAGAGCTAATTTGTATTCAACTTGTGAACTCGCATAATTAACTGATTAACCGTGCGTGAAAATGACAAGACTTTAATAGTTTTTCATTTCCTCGAGATAGAACGGAGAAAACGTCAGACAAAATTGAAATAGAGTTTTCAGTTCTACTTTGTGTGTTTTGTTTATATATATCCGTGTTTTAGAGCTCAATAAGAAGACATAAACTAAACGGAAATAAAGACTTTTCAACTCCACTTTGTGCACATGTGTTTTGTTTATATATCTGAGTTTTAGCGCTAAATAAGATATAGGAAGCCGTTTCTCGCGTTGCTAGGTGATCGCTTCTCTTATTCCTATTTTCCTTTTAATAGACGGTCCGAAAACCGAGCTCAAGTTACTTCACGGGCAAGTCTAGGCAAGCCTATTGTTCCTATTGTAGTAGAGTGACGCTCATTAGTAAACCTATCCACTTCATTATATATGGAGGAAGACACTTAATTAGTATGGAGGAAATCCAAATTAGTATGCAGGAAGACACTTATACATATTAATAAAGGGAATCCACTTTTTCCCTAGGTTATAACAATGGGTGACGTCATTGACTAGACCCAGCTAGACCTTGCTAGACACCAAAACGGTTAAATTTCAACATAGTAGACTACTTAAACTGTTTGTAAAATAATTCACTTCTTTGTGTTTCATATCATAAATATCAAAAATACAACATTTCCATCCATCTCTTGTAGTAAAACATAAATTTGAACCATTTCACTGAATCTGGTATAATATAAAAATAATGTCTTAAAATATCATTTATATTTAAATATAACTTGTATTATAAAATAACTTTTAGCTATCTTCAACATATCTCATATATATTTATTAAATAACAATAACTGCAATGTCTTATAGTGTCTATGTTTCTGCCCCTTTTTCTGCTTCTACAGAAGCTTCTTAACAGACCAAAAATGCTGTTAAGCTGTTTGTAAAATAATTCACCGCCTTGTGTTTCATATCATAAATATCAAAAATACAACATTTCCATCCATCTCTTGTAGTAAAACATAAATTTGAACCATTTCACTGAATCTGGTATTATTATAAAAATCATGTCTTAAAATATCATTTATATTTAAATATAACTTGTATTATAAAATGACTTTCAGCTATCTTCACCATATCTCATATATATTTATTAAATAACAAAAACTGTAATGTCTTATAGTAAAAACTTGCAAGAGGTGACAGGCCGCACATCTTCACCGGCGTGAAACCTTTGAAACCTTTTATATATTGCTCCATTGAGGAGACTTCTTTCAGGGATCTTACAGTTTAAAATTTGAACGATGATATCGCTTCTATATAGCGGACCAAGATACGGCTCGGTACAGTTTATGTTCAGCAAGGGAAAATTGTGTAAGTTGAGCAGAACCTTTAAAATGTTCAACAGACATTTTATTCAGTTCGCGCGTATTCCTGTTGAATTTGTAGCCCGTTTATCAGATATGTCTACTCAAAAACATAATAATTTTTCCATAGCTGCCGTTATCTTAGAGTAACTGCTTTTCATATCTCGTAAAGTTTAGGTTTAAGCGATCTCAGAGAACAATGTTTAGCTGTACACAGCACGTAGTCTTTTTAAAAATATATCCAGATCTGACACTGGTTTTGGGTATTTATCACGTCCAAGCATGATTTAAATACATTATGATGCTGTGTCCTTTGAATGTCGTTTAAAACTCAATCGCTTTGTAAATGTCACTTGTAGTTTAATATCACAGGAGAGTATTTTGAAGCTCAATATTTTTCAATACCATTAGCATGTTGCTTTTTGACCAATCAATTGACTGGCTTCTTCGGGCCACTACATAATGTGTGTAGTTAAATATAAGTTTACAAGCAAGACCGGCGGTTTCGAATCTTACGATTCTCATCAGTTGCTATGTGGTGGGATGGTTGCCAGGAAGTGGATTGAGACTGGGGGGCACAGCTACTCCACATGGCTTTATGCTGTCAAGCTGCATTTATCTCAAGGCTTTGTTACTGTAAGAGGGTGGGAAGTATTAAAATTTGCTAGGTGTTTTCTTAAGACAACATTTGTGTTTTAGATAAGATATTCAATACTAATTTCCTGGCATCGGATAAAAAGATCCAGGCATTTTTACAACATTTGTAATTCAGCTGAACAGAATTCCTTTATATTTATTTTTGTAACCCAACATGTAACACTGAATAGACTAAATGCAGCTTGACAGTATCGGCCTGGAGAGAAAGCACTGCTTGAGGTACATGTACCATCTTGTATAGACATACCCTATGGAATGCTCATTTTTGGTGATACTAAATATGAAGACTGAAAAAAAATGGAAAAAAAAAATTCGTGCACAACCTTTAGGTACTAAAAAAAATTCGTGCACAGCCCAAAGGCGAAAAAAAAAA